TACCTTTTATCAGTAAGCTTCGTATTATTTCTTACATTTTATTAGTCGTAAATAGGTTTTGAAAATGGTGAACAACAACAACAAAAATTCTTTTAATATTATTTTAATTAATTGAATTTTTGGTTGAATATATAGCGGTTTCGAGTATTGCCATCATCAGTACTCATCATCAGTAATCTTGTAATCATTGCTTGTATTTAATTATTCGTAAATAATTTTTTGATTTTGCTAGTACAAAGGGTTGAGCTCGTGCCCTTTCGTATTTGAAGATCAGAGTCAGCGTTCATTTTCTGGAGTTTTGTTAATTCGCTGTGAAAGTTTATTTACATTTTTACTTGTTGTGTTTTTTTTTTTTCAGTTAGTGGACCAGATCTTAGAATAAAACATTTTTATGGCTTATTTATCTCACTTTCCGACTTTTCTTTTTTTTATGAAGTACAGAATCTTCCTTCTATGTATAAATCCATATTGTTTAAAAAGGGAGATAAAAGGGAGTTGTAGTTCTTAATAACCATTTTGAATTTTTGATGATTTTTTACCATCTGGATAAGCTAATCTTCATTAATCTTCATCTCAATATAGATTGAGTTATAACTATTGTTAAAGTAGTAGCTGTTTTTAAACTTATTTGTAAAAAGCAACTTATTGACACTTATTTATTTTTATTTTTGTTTCATATTAACCATTGCTATATGTAAACTATTATAGGAGTTATTCAAAAATGAGAGTCATATACATAGGGATATGTCATTACTATCGTCATATTGAGTACGGGATAGTCAGATCCCGTGCTTTTATTGCGATAAGCCTTGTTGCTTTAAGGGTGTGTTTTTGTTTAGCTATTGTGTATCTTTACGATAGTGTTTAGTTTTAAATTTTTTATAATTGAAAGTATTCTAATATTTCTAAAATTTACTATTCTAATATATTTAAATATTAATCTGCATTGATTTTAATTCGACAGTATTTAGAATACTGTTGATCTAATACTATTTTGATACTAAGATTGATTTGAATGAATCACAGTTGTTAGTTAAACTTTTTCAATCAATGTTTGCTTTTTCAACATTAAACTATATATTAGCTTTTTATCTATCTTACTATTTATGAGTTTGATTATTAAATTATTTGTTGCAATCTAAAAGAAAATCATTTTCTTTCTCAGACAGTTATATTTCACAATAAACAAAAAAATGCAATAGCAGCAGATACTTCCTTTGCCTGCAGTTATAATTATTTCATCTTCCTTATTCACAAGTTTCTTGTTGCAAATGTATCTTGTATATTTGTATCTTGTATCTTATCATCTACGTTATGACATTTCATTTCGACTGCGTATAAAAATTCAAAAATTTCTTATTGTTTGAAGATTGTTAGAGTTGCATCGAACACTCCTTACAGCTTAGTTGAATATTTATGCATAATTCGTTAGCAGAAATTTGATATATTTTTTATACTTTAATTCCTTGCTGCACATTTCTCTTTCTTAGATTAGATGAAGTAAATGTAAAAATGTTTGCTGGTGTAATGTTGACGTTGACAGATCGTTGCTTTTACGACGACAGATGAAAGCTTAAACACAAAAAAATGTCAGATCCTTTATTCCGTTTTGTATGTAGATGTAATATTTTTTTTTTTTTTGCCAGCTAAGGAAGAAAATGTCAAGTTTAGTCATAATTTGTCATTTTTGCTGGTCGAAAAGGAAAATATGAGAAAATTCCGCTAGAAAATAAGTTAAAATTTATGTATTTATCTAGTAATGTATTTTGTTTTTAAACTATCTGGAATATAGTTCTTTAATTTTATAAACTTAAACAAATTTAATATTTAATATAATGAAAAAATGATATTTTTTTAAGAATTATAGTAACATTTATACTTATGTAAGTCGATTTAAAATCTCATAAAAAAAAACCACAAAGGTTAATACCATTGATTTTTATTCACATATCGCCGTCATACGAAAATATCCTTCTTGTTTGAATGTTTCTGTGAGCTTTTATTATTTTCCTTTAAGCTCATTCATGAAGCACTGGTTCAATAAATTCATTAATTAAGTTAATATTTGTTTAAAGACAGCCTCAATATGTTGTTAGTATCGTTGGGGATATCAATGCTGATAGATTAACACGGTGTAAGGATTAGCAATGGCACTTAATAATATGTTAAGTGTTGAAAACAAATTGAAACAATCAATTGATCTGAAAAGTGTACTTAGGCACATAATTTAGTTACTGTTTATGTAATTTCAATTAAATTCATATAAACTTTATGTAAAAGGACTCTGTGAACTTAGTTTGGTTTATGTGCACTTGAAAGAAATGTATACAATGCTATGTATCTCACACTCATGCTTTGATAGTAATATAACTTTGAGGTCAATGTAAAGCTAAAAAGGTATCTGAATTGTAATGACTCTTTAAATGCTATATTATATCTTTGATTTCTTTTTAGTTTATTACATATTATTCTGAAAAATAGTTACACAAAAGTTTTTTATATTTGGCAGAAATTTCTTTATTTAATATGCTGTAATGTTTGTGTTCTTTTCATATTGAAAGGTCATTTTATTTCTAAAGATATTGAGAAGATCGCAGATTGTGACCAATTTACTTATATGCAAAATATTAAACCTTCGGCAACAAAGTACACATTCCTTATCTCATACTAAGTGATTAAACGACGTTTTAATACCCCATTTCTCAAAAGCCGCTTAGAGAAATGCATCTATATCGATTCTGTTGAATCTAAGTATAATAACAGATTTCCTTATCACTTTTATATACGCTACTTAGATCAGATTAGACTTTTAAGGTGGGTTGGGAACTTTTCAACGCGTCACTGCATCCTTAGAGGATTATTGTGACATATCCACTTCAGTTCCATAGACAAGTAGCAGTTAAGAATGCCAATATGTCCTTTGGAGAGATGTTGCCTAATTCTGTTATAAGTGGATAGGCAGTGGATAAGAACCGAAGTCGATACTTACTTTCTCCTGTAGACAAATTATTTACTTTTTCCTGTAGCCAAAACTAGGCAATCGCCAAAACTGAGAGAGTGTGAGGTTCAAAGAAAAAGATAATTCAAAATAATACTCAATTTTTTGGCATGTGTCCTTATACAATACTCACTCGAGACATCTAGAAATGCGGGTATGCTAAAATTTGGTTGGTTTGAAGAACTTTGTTTGCGTTTTGAGAGAGCTAGATAAAAGCGAAAAGAGATGTACCAAAGCGTGACTCATTTGCAGTTCATTATATCCACCATAAACAGAGGATATGCTCTAGGGTTTCCTTTATTCCCAGTTTCATACATCTACTAATTATTAGTTTATTAGAGAAATTCAAAGTGCAACTCTTAATGGTTTCCAGGCAACTTAAAGAATCGGTGCGATTTTTATCCTTAGAAACATGACGGTTAGTTAAATCCTCCACTTTTTTATTCTAGTCAATTTTTATACCTTTCATCTCTTAAATTTAGACATAATCGAAGATATTAATTTAGTTAAGGATATACAAAATAGACAATTATGATATGATTCTTTATGAAACGTAACCTGGTCATGACCCAAAACTGCGTATATAGACAAATGAATGTCTGTATGACATAGCCTTAAGTGATAATATGGATCTAGTTTATATTTCTGCATATCTTTGTTGTTTATGGACAACTAAGAAACAATTAATATTTATTTCAAATTTGTTTATGTAAATAATTATATAAATAATTTATAGAGAGATTTCAAAAAGTAGTGATCTACTAGTTTCTATTAAATATATAGTCACTTCCGTCATAAACTGATGTTAATTTACAACTTATATTAATAAATAATTTATTAATAATAATTTATAATTTATAAATTGTTATTATATTTGTTTCAATAAAAAATTAGAATGTAAAAAAAGTATAAAAAAAAATTTATATACATTAATATTTAATATGTATTTTCGTTTTTAAAGTCAAACATTTAATAATCAAAAATTAATATAACTTTCATATTTTTTTCTTATCTTTTCAGTTAAATGAACTTATAACGACAACACCAATTAAAAATAAGTTTAGTTTAGAAAAAAATAATAAAAAATAATTCTGTGTATTTAAGATTTCAAATTAAAATATTATACTTATTTCTAATAACTATATCAAGAGTAAATAATTTAAATTTTATAAAAAATAAAATAAATATAAGAGATTTATATAAATTAAAATTAATAATATAAAGTAATTTAGCTAGTCATTTACTTCAAATATTCAATTTAATAATAAAATCAATAATTAGCTGTAAATAAATATTAATATTCGCCATTGTGATTCTTAAATTAGTAAATATATATTTAAATATATATATATATATAAATAAAAAAAAATAATATAATATATTCAAATTCAATATCATAAATTTAAAAATTGTAATGCAAATATAAATTAATTAATTCCAATATTAAGAATTTAAAGTGTTAAATAAATTCAAATAAAAAAAGTGATAGCAAATAATTTAATATATGTTATAAAAAAGTAAATTAACATAAATTTGTACTTAATATTGCAGTGTATTTAATTTCAAACAAAAAAATAAATAATAAAAATAAAAATTTAAAAATAAACAAGCGAAACACAATTAAATAATATAAACAAATAATATTATCAATAAATCAAAATTTGTGCAATTAAAATTCTGTAACAATTTTTGCAAAATAATTTCGAAATAAATTGTTTTACATTTAAAATAAATTCTAGCTTCAAATAAATAAAAATAATTAAAAAATAAATAGCAATATTATTAAAGTAAACAATATTAAAATAATTTAAAAAGAAAATTAAAAAGAAAATTTTTTACGGTACAACAAAAGCCGCCCAAAAACAGTCGTGTTAAAATTAATAAAAAAATATTTATTAAAAAAAAAACAAAAATAAATAAAAAGAATCCGCAAACTTCCCTTTAACACCTACGTAAAAAAATATATATATCAAGTTTTATTCGCAAATCCATCCAAATTTATTTAAAAATTATAAAAAAAAATTATTATTGCGGAAAATATAAAAATGTTGTTTTCTTTAGTGGCCAAATTAGTTAGTGTCTCCGCTTATTTTTATTTTTGCCCATGCTTCCGAAAATGACGTGAGTTACTTGAACTCCAATGCTAACAGTTACTATAAGCAAAATGATATTTCTCTCCACCTAAAACAAGAACGGGCCATCTCTTAATTAATTAATATAATCAAATTATCACACAATAAATATGTTAAAATTGCACAAAACTAAAATTTGTTGATATTTTGCAATTCAATTTGTGAAGCGCAACGTTTAGCACTCTGCCACCAACATGACGATGTGGCAGAGTGGTGGCATGGGAGGCCATGGTTCCCAAAATAATCCATGGATGAAATTAATGGGCATCGTGCATAAGGAACGCCGTCATACCGACAATGTGCAAAGCCAAAGTGGTTCAAATGAACGGAACTTAAATCAGTAAGTGTATTTGCATGTGCTTAATCTATTTAAATAATAATATTAATATATTTTATTTAATATACTTATTATTTTAATAAAATATAAGTATAAAAAGTATATCAAGTATAATATCAAATTGATTTCCAAAAGAACTGTGAATAGCATGTATATATCCCTAAGAACGTATTTTCTCCTACTCCCATTCCTAAAACTGTTTATTATTTGTTGTATATTTATAGGTGTGAAAATAAATTACCTATTTGAAATTAATTTAAATTAAATTGCATATGTATAGGGGCGAGAAACTAATTCGCTAGATTAAATTTCAATTTAATTAATAATTTATAAACATAAGTAAAATTTAATTGTGTATTATGATTGCATAAATATAAATATATATAAATAACGTTAATATCTTAAGATAAAGAGAATAAGAAAACATTATAAGAACGAGACGAGGTTAGTAAGCATAACGCGTTGGTATTAAAACGGCAGATTGCATTTAATATAAGATGCCACAGCTATTTACTAAAAATATAGATGCAGACACATATGAGAACTGGTCTCTCAAAAACACCTTTTCACTTGAGTTCATTTATCCATATATTATTATAGTGTGCTAACTGTATTAAAGAATTGAGGTCATTATTTAAATGAGGCAATGTATTTAATGTCTTTTCTAGTAATATAGGAAAAACCTTTGAGAATGGTAGTTCCCATAGTAAAGTTTTGCTTTATAGTGAGTGCCAAGCTAGAACGCTTGATTTATTGGTTATTGATTTGCAGTGTCTGGTCTATAGTTAGCGTTTCATATTGTACTACCAGGAAATCATCAAACCATATGTTTTTTTTTTCCTTTTAATGTTTCTGTGTTCGAAAACCCACATGAGAGTGATCTTCTCCAGTCGCTGTAGCATACCATTTTTTGCCCTACATTTTTTTATTAGCTTTGATTATAAAGTGAAGCTTTTACAGTAGTCCGACAAAAGAGATTCTATTTGGTTGCCGTAATTATCTATAAAACACTGTCAAATATTTAGTAACAAGCAAGACTTAGCAGTGCTTACATTTTATTAATTGTAGTCAGAACATGTCACATCTGTACTTAGACAATTGTGGTCTTTATTTTTTTTCAATAAATATTCAATTCAAATGCAAAACAATGGATTCTCACACTTAAAGTGATTGTGTTATGAAAAGTCATATACCTCTTCTCAATTCATACAATCTCTATTTCAAAAAAATGCGTCTTTGATCTAGAATCAATATCAGTTTAATCATTGAATGCAGACATAACTCGTTAAAAGATGCACTATTTCTGATGCAAGTTTTACAAATTGATTCTATCATTTAACAGTTCTTTAGTTTATGAAACTGTATTGGTCCAACTCACAGAAAAAAATGTGCTCTGCGTCATTGCAGTCTTCGTCGCCATAACGCATCCGAGTCGGGTTTCTTATCACACGTGGTATAGATACTTGCAAAAGCATTCATTTCCAGTCAACACATGTGTGATGTAGTAAATTATTTCTTTCGCATTCCGGTTGATTGTATTAGGTGTCAGTTCAACTCTCTATCTTTTCTTGCGTCTTTCTTACCACATTACCATTTCCATTACTATTGCGACTTAATTACCATTTCTTAAGTATAATAGTCATTCATCTGCTTGTGGCATACTTTTGGATGCTGGTTTGCTTAGAGATAAATTAAAGTTGCATCTTCAATTACATGTACTGTTTCTACTGAAATGGTGTGATATGTTAATGTTATACATAGAAGAGACACCGTTCTACAAGTTTAGTTGTTGTGAAAATATAAGCAAAGGAACTAATGACTGTAATATTTAATATTGCTGTCAATTTCCGCTTTGTTTTGAAGTTATTTAATTGATCCGCTAGACGAAGGGATGGTTTAAGGTTGAGTTTCTCAAAGTATACAACAACACTCATCTTTCTAAATCAACTGCTTAAAAAATTTTTAAACTTGTTTAATATAATATTTAACACATTTTAACTATTTTTCAGTGTATTTTCCTTAAACAAATTGTTTGCCTTTATTTCTTTTATTTTGAAGTTTCACTCTTTTTTCTCTGCTTTTATTTCTTTTTACTTTACTTAACTTTTTTATTATCTGTTTATCGATTATAAAATTGTTTTCAATTTATATAGCAGCTAAGAAAGCAATCATCTTTTAAGTGCAATTTTCATAACTCCCATGACAGTTCGTTAATGTCAACTGTCAATATTTTACTCAATGGTAAACACTATAAAAAGCTAACACATAACAACAACAAAATCAATTAAGTAGAAAATCAAGTAAACATCACGTAAAAGTGTCTTAGTAGACTACCATAAACTACCTGACTGTGAGTAAGTGGTTTGTAGTCATAGAATCTTAAGTTGTGTATGGTGTATATATATAGTTTTATAACAGGAATGTTAATATATACATATATATATATATATATATATATATATATGTTATAAAAATTTGATGGGTTTAACAACTATAAAAAGTTAAGAATTTTAAAATTACTTTGCTATATATAAAAATAAAATTACATGTATTTTAAAAAGTTTTTCTTTTAGTAAATATTTCGTTTTACTACAATAAGTTTGTTTAAAAATAACAGCAATGCGTATGAAAATGATTTTTAATTGCATTTTACAAGTTCAGTAAATTTATTGAAATATTCAATCATTTTTGCACCATTCAACCTTTACTGAACTGATGGGAAAATATTAAACATTCACTCACTTACTTACCACTATTTCTCATGTGATATGTGTGGTTCACCAAATAACATATGAACATTTTTCATAGACACTCATACGCCATGGTGTGCTTAGCAGTGGCGTTGCTTGTATTATATATAGTTTTGCTCACATATTAAGTGAGTCTGTGCTTGGGATTGTGCTATCGAGCGAAGGTATATATATGCATGCACATGCATGAAAACTCTGGCGTGTAATTAAATTTAATTAACAATTACGGTCAAGTAAACACCAAACTGTTTTAATATCATTAAATAACATTAAATTTTCTTTGGTTCAATGCGGCGCATGAGTTACGGAAATATTTCAAGGAAAACTAAAATTTTTTATAGAAAAAAATTAAATAGAAAATTTGCAAAAATCTTTGCAAATTAAAGTTTGAAGTTGCCAAGAATTATTTTGAAAAAAAATTAAAATAAAAATAAAAAGAGCAAAAGAAAAAATCCTTCTCAAATAATATACAATATTAGAAAAAGTTTCGGGGGCAAAATTTGAAATTCTGGCATGTAGCATTATTTGATGCATTCCTCATGTAGTTTTATTATTGTCCTTTTCCTTTACATTTTTTATTTAGTTCTCTTACATTTTTGACATAAAACGTAACCCATGTAACTTGGTTTACGTGTTTAATCCTACTTTGAGCCTTAATATCTGCGCTTATTTTTTCTTGTAGCCTCAAAGCCTTTTTCTCTTCTTCACTGTCGCTAACACGAAAACTGAAAATAGAATAAAATTTATACTTTTCTGTATTATTCCACACTTCACTTTTGTATGAATTCGTAAATAGAGAACATAAAAAATTTTACAAAAAATAAAAAAAAATAAAATAAAAATGAATAAATAAAAAACAACAAATCGGAAAGGTAACATAAGGGTTGCTCTAGTTGCTTCCTCCTTCTAGATTTCAGTTTGGGTCAGCAGTGACGACGGTAATAAAAACGTAAGCACTAACATGCACAATTTATTACATTTTATCAGGACCTTTTGGTGTTTTAGTGCTAGT